GTTTACAGCATCAGCTCTCTGGGTGAAAGGGCCTTGTTGATTCTTGCTGATAGGAAGACAACAGTAACTCAACAAAAACCACTTGTCATAACCAAAGGATGCAGAAGAGCATCTCTGAATGAACAACACATTGCAGATGGGCTACAGCAGCAGAAGACAACACCAGGTGTCAGTCCTGTGAGCTGAGAACAGTGAACTGAAGCTACAATTTGCAAAGGTCACCGAAAATGAACAACAGAAGATTTGAAAAATGTTGCCTGATCTGATGAGTAGCCCTAAACCAAAATAAAATATAGAAAATGCTAATGAAAATGAGTTTTGGCCAGTAATATAAAAACAAATCCAAAATATCAAATTCGACATTTGACTGCATTCTTGTCCCAGTGGCTCCTTTTGTTTGTGCAAGTGAAGCTATACTATGATGTGTACACGTGTGCACGGCAGCTTTGCTTACACTCAAAGTCTTTCTCAGTGTAGTGTCGCCCCATCCTGTCTCCACTGGTAGAAGCAGAGTCACTGATGATGTCTGCAAAGCGCTCCACGGACAGAGCTTTCTCCCAGTTCTCTTCCTCCTCTTCTTCCTCCTGGTCCTCCACGCATCCATCCTCATCTTCCTCTTCCACCCTTACCTGGACGACAGTACAAATACTTTCAGTAAAGACAAAAAAAGGATGATTAACTGCATGGCAATAACCGTAACTCATATATCCAAAGGCCTCTCTTGCCCCCTGCCATTGAACCTCAGCTTTAACAAGAAGTTTTTCCAGTTTGCTATAAAATCTATAGGTGATACAAGAAATGTGTTACCCTGATTACTATATTGTAATGCTAGCAAAGTGGGAAATTTAACCGGACAGTTCTTTGGCACGACACACATTGACTCATCAGAAACGGCAGCCACACGAGGGGAACATTCATGCTAAATTAAAGTGTAATGCTAATCTGGGATGAATGCAAAACAAATAATTATTTTTGCTACTATTTTATATGGAAAGTAGCTCTGCTGTTTCTATTTCCAGACATGATTTGCACTCAAGCCAAAGATTTCTTTTTGCTGTTAAAAAACAAAACAAAACAAAACAAAACATGTGATTGTATTTTAAAATAATTCTTCATCATCAGAATAGGAACACAGCGACTGTATATTCTCTGTTACATGCACAGAGGACATCAAATCAATACAACAAAGTGCTAAGCAGCAAAGAACTAATGCACTAGAGAGCCCCTGGAGACAGTGAAGACTGATGGGAGTGTCCTGCCTCAGCTATTTGGTGCTTGTGATAGGTCAGAATCACTGGCACATGCTGCTTCCTCTGCCTCAGATTGGTGCTGGCACAGTGCGTACTTTGGCTGCCGTTCAGTGGTCTCAGATTGCTGTGTGCCAGGGCTCCATTACTTCCTAATTACCAGCAGGATGAAGGGACATGATGCATTTAATGATCCAAGCTACCTATCTACACAAGGCTGAGGCAGATGTAGCTAGGCAGGATAAAAGAAAGGGTTTTTTTTGGGGTTTTTTTTAAAGTGAGTGAGCAGTGAACGCCTTGTTTTTACAGCATGTCCAGCTCAATTTTGTTCATGGTTTAATGTGCTCTGTGTTCCAATGAGTCAATGTCCCCATTCACTTCCTCATTTCCTTCACCTGCTCTGGTGAGGGCTATTCGTCAGAGTAAGACCCTGAATTTAATAGTCCCGACATATTGCAACAGGGAACAATATTGTAGGGAGAGTTTACTACAGACAAGAGGCCTAACTCTTTCATGTTAGCTTTGAAGTCAGATGAGGTGGAAGGACACAGGAGGTGGGCCACCCCAGCCCAGGTGGTGACGGCGGGATACGTACAGGAATAGAATCACACACAATGGCTTAAAGTGATTTGAAATATTGTATGCTTTAAGTACTGTATGCCCAAATGGAAATCAGATCTATTACACTAAAAAAC